TTATTCTGTTATTTGGGAAAAATGATCTCGCCAAATACATTTTTTTTTCATACAAACCCAGATTGAGTAAAAAGAATAATAGAAAAAGGTGGAGACTAGGTAGAACAGGCAAATTTAGGAATAATAATCGCTAGAAGATTTATTGAAGTTAAATTAAATTAAATTATCAAGCGGAAGAGCAAAAAATATCCTAAGATATTGAAGAAAATCGTTACTCACTTCTGCAGAATATTCTTCAGTGTTTCCTCCTATCTTCTTCGTCTCTGTCTAAAAACTTTTTAATAAGTTCGGATAATTTATCATTTTATTTATATTTTATACTTACGTTAGCTGTATAAGTAGCTTAAAATTAACATCGTATTTTATATCATTAAATGTGTTTCAGGTGAATATATTAAATTCGCATTAATTTATTAAATAACTAGCAGCTTCGCTGCCAGCCTTCGTCTGGCTTTTAAATGTACCGGAAAAATGGCTGAAGGGAACACCAAACGTTAAATTTAAAAACTGCTTAGAATTTTACTCTGCAGAACAACTTCATAAAAAAAGTCATTACGCGTAACAAAATTACAATGAAATAAGCAATATCCCTTAATACAAATATTAATTATCCTAATAAATAAATTAACCAACTTCCATTTGCAAAATCTTAAGAACTGAAATGATATAAAGGAGGTTATAAACTATGTTTTTTAAAAAAATCACTCAAAACTTTTCAATATCTTAAAGACAGTGAAATGAGCAATAAACAGCATAAAAGAATACAAAAAACAAAAAATTATGAAAAGCAAAGTATAATTAATGATATTTTATCTTACATTTTCAAGAGAAAAAAATTACTATGAAAGAAGCTATATCCCTTAATACAAATATTAATTATCCTAATAAAAAATTAACCAACTTTCCGTTGAAGAAAAAAAAATCATTCAAAACTTTTCAATATCTTACACATAGTGAAATAAGCAAAAAATAACATGAAAGAAGCTCAAAAAACAAAAAATTCCGCGCAGAATTTTACTCTGCAGAACAACTTTATAAAAAAAATAAATAAAAAAAAATGTTTTATATATATTAAAAAATGACAATGAAATATGCCAATCTCTTAAAAACAGTGACATAAGAAATACGATGAAATATTGTTGCCAAACCCATATTTCTAAAAGAATGAAACTATTCAAAATGATGCGATTTCATCAAAAATTTATCAACAACAATAAGAAATGAAAATCGTTGCCAAAATCACATTTTTAAAGATGTGAGAAGTGTACTCGGAAGCTTCATTTAATTTTTTTTTTAAATACAAATTATTATCATTTTTCTAAAATTATTTTTGTAAAAGCAGTCGCAAAGATGAAAGTTTAACGTGTCCAAAAATCAAAGAAAAATAAACTTTTTTAGAAAATATCTCGTTGCAAAGGTGTTAAGCTCCCTTTGTTAAATAAATTCGTATTTAATCGATTTATTGAAACACGAAATTTATTTTAAGTTCGTAAAATAGCTAAGTGCCTACGTTTCATGACGATGTGAAAATGGAGTGTGTAGAGTAAAATCTCGCTTTCCTATAGCCCATTATGTCTCAAAATGACGCGATTTCGTCACAAAACATAAAATTAAAAAAATTCGAATTCTAATTTCGAAAAAATCGCTTCGAGGTGCACTGGCTCTGGTCTAGATGCACCTATGTACCAAATTTCGTAGCCGTGGGTCTATTAGCTTACGCGCAAGCGCGAACGAAAGACACACACACACAGACAGACTCTTTCTTTTATTATATGGTAGAGATAGCAGCTATGCGGCCAGCTTTCGTCTGGCTTTTAAATGTACCGAAAAAATGCCTGAAGGGAATACCAAATGTTAAATTCAAGAACTGCGCAGAATTTTACTCTGCAGAACAATTGCAGAAATAAAAAAAAAAAAAAAAAAAAAAAAAAAAAAAAAATTACATATAAAAATTACAATGAAATAAACAATGTCCCTTAATACAAATATTAATTATCCTAATCAATAAACTAACCAACTTCCCGTTGCCTTCTCTCAACAAACGTCCAGTATCCAAGAGAAACATTAAATTTAAAAACTGCACAGAATGATCGCCCTCATTTTTCCAATCGGCAACAATGCTGATTTTCAACAGTCAGCAATCCAGTATACAATTGAATGAAAAACAGTTGCCCAAAACCACATTTCTAAAAAGAATGAAACTATTCAAAATGATGAGATAAAATCAAAAAGGTAAAATAAAAGAAATCTGATTGGAATTTTGAAAAAATCGCTTCGAGGTGCACTGGTTCTTGTCTAGATCCACCTATATACTAAATTTCGTAGCCCTGGGTTTATTAGCTTACGCGCAACACGAACAAAAGACACAGACTCTTTCTTTTATTATATTGTTGCGTGCGTACGGGTTCGTTATGAAGTGAATGCACAAGTCCGATGAAAAATGAACAAAACTTTTTATTATCACAACAAAAATGCTTAAATTTTCTCAAATTATCATGCAGTATTACAATATCTCACAGTAGTTATCTTTTAACTACTCAAATATCCAATAGAACGTAATTCAAAACAGCTAAAGAACGCTAATCCGCGAATTCGCTATAATCAACAACAGCAGTTTTCTAAACAACAACAAACTAAGCAACTACTACTAACTGAGATGTTTTCCTCCTTTTATAAGATTTTAAAATCACGCGCTAGAATTTTCCAGCACTTTCTCGAAATCAAAAAGAGATATTTATTTATTTAATGCACGCGCTCTTGTATTTTCAATTTTCCGGCTTAGCTTTCTTTTAATATTCGTCACGCTGCACTGCGCGAGAAATAAAACCATTTAATTTGTAATTGAACTAACATTAGCTTTTTAAATACCAAATTCGTAACAATATGTAGAGATGTATTGGCTTTTGCCCATAAAAAGATCGCAAAGCAATTATCTCATAGTAATGGTATAAGTTATGAGTAATAACACTGGGATCTACGGTCATAAAGTGAATTGAGATCAGTTCTTTCTTCTTATATAGATAAAAAAAGAGAATTGCAATCTAATATATTATTTTAATTACCGTATAGAATCTCATTCTCTTCGGTAACATAAACTGTGAGGTCTCTACCTAAGACTTAAGGGACTTATCGGTCTGTCTTCGAAATTACAACAGAGAAGGTGAAAGCTTGTAAATGACACTTTTATTTAACTCAGATAAAAGTTAAAACTGCACTTACTGCTGTGCATACAGAACTTCTTGTGCTTACAGAAGCCGCCAGCATTCATGGCTTAACTCAAAACGTAAGAGAATTGAAATTAGATTAAGTTAATTGTAAGTTATCTGAAAAAGCTATACAGACAAAATACGCTTAAGTTGGCTCAAAAACCTAATGTCGGCGTGACAAATCAAATGGTGAAAATAACGCAACACCGCAGATAAACTGCTGTCATGAGAATCAAGTAGCAAACGCGACCTTTACCATCTAAAACCTTCCTTTAAAATATTATCTCTTTCAACCTCATTTGAATACGCGCAAACTAGAAATTAGCCTTCTGGCAGGAAAATAGAAAGCGAGAAAGACAGAAAAGCTAATTAACATATAATAACTAGTTAATGAAACTAAATGCATACTCTACAACTAAAAATCTTTGCATTCTGTGTAAATAATAACTTCTACTTTCATTTACATTCTTTAATATTAAATATTATATTAGGGAAGCATTATCATTTAAAGAACCCAAGAAGGAATAATTCTACGAATTTTTAATAAACCTTTAATTGACATATAACTCCTAATTTGTCTACATGTTTAATAAATTTTTGACATCTTATTTTGAATGTTTCATTAAAAAAATATAATAGTGTGATTTTAATTTTCAAGTGTAAGCCGTGAAAATATGAAGCTGAACGTCTGCAGGAAGCAGATCTGTATAAATCCCAAACGGGGAGGGGGACATATTTTTATAACCAGGAAAGCTATCGTTATCGTCCGACCTATAATCTTTCAAGCTTAGCTTCGTAAAAAGTAGCTCAATAATAATAATAATAATAATAAAGCTGAAGGCTTTGAGATTTTAAATTGTGCCCAAAGCGGCGTTTATTTAATCCTTTTGTGTGTTACCTTTATTTATTAAATATCATGTTCTTCGCGCGTAAGCCATAAAATTTAATTCAACAGCAGTATCACAAAATATTTAAAAAGCGTATATCCTCAGAATTTCCGATACACAGTCTCAAGCACTGGACATAATTTTTTCTTTCCCGTACAGGGGTGCCATTGCTCGTTTTGAAATCATTGAGTTTGTTAATCTAAAGATCGTTACAGAGTTTTACAAAATATGAAATAGATAATGAAACGAATTGCAAATTTGGGTTTCCATATCGGCATATTCGAGTGGAGGACTACGTTATTCAAAATTTGATGTCTCATGTCTCTAGGTACCGTCGTTTTTTCACAATGCCAGAAACATACATACTTTCATGCAGATTCTTTATAATTTAATTTCTTTAAATATAATATAGGGTGATAATATTTGGTGGCAACAATTTGAAAAGTGATTCAAACTTTTGTAGTGAACCAACGCAAAATGCCAAAACGGAATTAATAGCCCATCTGGGCAAATTCCCCATTTGGGTTAAAAATTAAAAATTGAAACTAGAATTAATTTTTCAAATTTTATTGATTAAAAGTGAAATGCGCACTTTTGTCCTAGCTCTAGTAAAGAATTTATCGTACGTACCGAATGAATCGAAAGAAGTACGTATGGAATGAATTTTCATTGCAAAATACCCTTCCATATCTTTACAAAAGTGCAACTGTAAAATTCAGTGTATCTTTGAAAACAAAATACAGTTCTGAAATCAGTAAGTACTGTAATTATATTTAAATAAGTACGTTTAGTCACTTTCGTAATAACCGAATTAAAAGATGCGTGTAATTTTATATAAATTAATTTTAATACACATTTTTTGTACATTATAGTAATAGATTAATAAACTCAGATTTTTGTTAATTAGACATTCAGAGGTGACGCCTGGAGAGGAAGAGACTGTGACGACGTGAATGAGATGATATACCCTGGCAGACGGTAAGTTCTGGAATTTTAATGGCATGTATTAGATTTATCAGCGTGTAATTCTTTACTCATTTCTCAAATTCGTTATTCCTGGTTAGCTGTTAATTCCCCACCTGAAAAATGATACGAGGGTATTCCAGGTATGGGTTAATAGTTCTTTGTATATTTTTAATTAACAGTATTAAATATGAAAGAATACTGCATAAATTCTGACAAAGTTAATTCTCAGCTATTCTGATTCTGATAAAGTTAATTCCAATGAAATTCTTAAAAACATTTAGCAAAAGAATTTATTAGATGTGGAGAAGGAAGGTTTCCATAGCAGTTTCATATCCGAAGTAAAATACAAGTTTATTAATGCAGTCGTTGAATTTCGGCAAAGTATTTTAAAATGAAAGAGATTTGGGGCTCTGTGAGGCATGATGGCTATAAGGAGTATCTGTTATCGAATGCGAATTTTCCTCATCTTTATCATGTATAAATTCTTGATTCTGATTTGCATAGTTGTTGAATTTTTAAAACCGATAAACCTTTTGATAAAAGTACTTGGAAATTTTTTCTTCTTTTAGATCTCAAATCATTTAAAGCTTTCGTTCATAAATCCTTACAGGAAATTTAATTATGTTATATTTTAGATGTGTTTTAATTTATTCTTTATAATTAAGTTTTTAGATACCTTAATTTAGTTTTAAATTTTTAGTTTAGTTTCTTATTTTAGTTTTTTTATTTATAATTTAATGGCTTTTAAATAAAAGAAAAATTATACATAAAATTTTTTAAATACTTCAAGAAGACAATATAATTTTTAACTCTTCGAAGAATGGTGTTATTGTTTTTAATACAGGAATTTCGTATTCTAACAAAATAGAAGTTGTCGCACATGTTTGTTGCAAGTTTCGTGAATAAGTGATCTAATGAAAAACGTGGACACCTGTTTCTTGAATAATTAAGTCATCTCTTTATTAAATAAGTTTAAAAGCCTCCACATTACATTAATTTGTGATGAAACAATATTATAACAATTCCTTTTTTCCATTTTGAGCAACTCGCTTAAATAGTCCTCACTAGTGGCCAAGTAGTTAAGAACCGCTGATAGTTCGACTTAGCCCAGGCGAACTGCATGTTTGATTTTCATGGTTTTCCCAGAGTATAATACTTGCCTAGCTTTGTAACGTAGCCTAACTTACTAACTTAACTTACTTATGTTACTAACTTACTAGCCTTACTAAAGTAAATACTAGCCAGTTTCTTTTAGAAAGTCCTTCGTAAAGGCATATAGTCCTAGCATATAGCTTGATAGATAACCTTATAAGGTATTTCTTCCACTTCCCTAGCGTGCCTTCGTGGTGTAACGGTAGCACGCTGGGCCGGTATTCCAGAGGTCTGTGGTTCGATTCCCGGCGAAGGGGGTTGCTTATTTTTCACCTTTTCTGCTTCCAATTCACCTAATGACTCTACAACCTAACCTAACCTAGCTGTTTTAAGCATATACTTTATGCTTTGGATTTCTAGGGGTTAATTCTGTTTTCAGATTACAGTTTATTCCATGTGGTATATATGTTACGGTGAAACCGAAATCTGGAGAATGTCGACTTTCACCGGTGAATGTCAACATTCACATAGTCTCTTGGTGTATGTCCGAAATATTTTCCAAATACTCTTATTTCTGACTTACACCGGTCAATGTCGACATTCACCATGTACTAATGGTGAATGTCGAACATATAACAATATTATATTTTCTTCTCCGTAATTCAGTCGCGAATAAACGCACTTGAAACTTGAAATAAGAACTTAAGAACATGTGAACCTAAAACACACAATACATTCAAACTGAGAAAGGAAAATAATAGAAGTTAAAAACTTACTTAATTATACAGTACGTTCTAAATGAGAAAATAAAATAACAGTAATAAAAAACTTACTAAATTATGTGAAATTATGTGATCTTAATTATTGCAACAACTTAAACTATTATGGCACTTTATGACCTCTCTTTTCGACTTTCACCAAAGTATATCTGTGATTGTCGACATACACTGGTGAGGGTCCGAATCTACAAGAATGTAGTGAAATATTCGGTCTTTCACCGACGTATTTCGTGAATGTTGATATTCTCCGGTGAAAGTCGACATTCTCCAATTTCGGTCTTTCACGGTAACATATATACAGAATATATGAAATTAGACAAAATCAACTTAGGTTGATGCTGTTTTTTTTAATGCCCTATGTCGTACTAGCGTGGTCCTTCTCCTTTGAAAAACAAAACTAATCTTTAGCAGACCCTGCAAAATAATTTTGCTTCTAAATAATGTGAACCCAGTGCTTGCCTCTTTTAAAATTAATATTTTTTCTGTAAAATTAACACCAATCTAAGGCTGACGTTTATGTTATCTTTTATTTCACGCTGAGCACATTTTCTTCTATAAAATATGGTATAACTTTGTAATGCTATCTACTCACATGAAGGCAAGTGTACGAAGCTTTGAAGTACGAAGTAAAAACATTTCCCTTTAATTATTCCTCATTTCTTGGGATTTCCATATTTTGGTAATGAATTTTACCAGAATTTACAACATTACAAATAGTACCAGTTTCTTACTAAATGTGTGTGTGATTATGGTAAAGTGTCGAGGGCTATCAGCCTAAGCGGAGGGATGCCTTCGTGGAGGACTTTCTATGGGAAACTGGCTCGTATACACGTTACACATGGGGAAAACCACGAAAACCCCCATGCAGCCAGCCCGTTCGCGGGATTCGAACCTCGGACCGAACTACCAGTGTTCAGCGACTTTACTGCTCGGCCGCTGGTGGGCCCTTACTAAATGAAAGAAATGGTTATGCTTTAAGAGAACGTTTATATTGTTTTAAAAAAATATCTAAAGCAATTTTTTTAGGACTTGGCCTTCTATTGATATTAGCTTTCGTTTAGTTATAAAAAAATTTTTAAAAAATTAACCTTCTAGATTAGCAGTTTTTAAATTTTATGAATTCGAACACTTTTATATGATTTGCAGCATTTTAAAAGTTTTATTTTGATTAGCGCAGTTATCTTATTATTTTGGCTTTACTTCCACTTTTGTCAAACAGTATGCAAATTAGTTAAAGCATAAATAAACTTATGGATGACGAAACACGAATTGAATAATTGGAGTTAGGTTTGGAGACAACTTCCCCTTGATAAGTCTTTCTCCTGCTTTCTTAGCAATTATTCACTTATGCATTTTTATAAATTTTTTAGGATTAAAAAATTTTTGGAATTATATATTTATTCATGGATTTTGATACTTGCACTTGATTTACATATGCTCTCAGAATTTAAATGATATTGTAGATTAGTTCGCAGTAATAATTAATAATTTATTTGTTTGCGTTAAATTTCATTATTTAAAATTTAATTAGCTTTACATTTGCTTTTTTAAGAATAGAGAATGTATGTTAAATATGTACATATATATAAATATTATATAAAATTATACAATTATGCTTCGATTTTTAGGCCCATGGATAAAGATATCATACTTGATTCCAATTGTAATGGAATATTTGTAAGTTAAATTTACATAAATATTGATATTATTACTGTAAATGAATTGATATTAAATATAAAAATGTTTTACTGATTAAACTTTAATTAATACTGCTCTAGGGTCTTAATACAAGTTCAGGGATTGCTTACGAAGAAGAATTATGCGGAGAAACAAAATCTCAAGGTCTTATTTACATAGGTGATTCCATCGGGGCCCATTTTCATGTTCCACCTGCGTGGCTAACTGCGGAAAAGCTAACTATCGTAAGTAACCAAACTTATACGTAGAAAGTGAACCAAAGCCTAAACCTTTTAAAAATTAGCATTTTAATGTGTTTGTAGTGCAATCAGCTAAAAAATGCATAAAATTAATCTTTGCCCTTTAAAGAATTTTATTATGCAAAATTTTTTAATTGCTCCTATATTCGTCTGACAGCACTTTATTTGTAAAAGTACATGCAAGGCCTGATAATAAATATCTAATCTGGCAGTTTTCCTTACTGAACTTAGTCTAAAGACGAGCTAAGAAGAATAGATAAAGAAAGGAATCATCGATACGATGATAATCGATTTGCACTTCTGCAGCTGAAGAAGCATTATTCTATACTTAAACTTTCAAAACTAGTTCTGGAAATTTATGAATGTTATGTTGCTTTAACTCCTCCAAAATGGTTATTCTGTGTGTCATTTTTGCTCAAACTCAAACAAGTTATCATAGAGCGGCTTTTTGTATTCTCAGAGATACTGAATGATCTCTTTATATCTGCAACTTGAGGTAATTACATCATTTAAAAAAGTCACAGGATTTCTGGTCTGGGTATTTTAATGAGGATTCATAGTGCAAGTAGTAGTTTATTATTCCACTTTAATTAAAAGCTGGAAGTGAAAAGAAAAAGGGGGAAAGAATATGGAGTAACACTCTGTATTGCTGTTTTACGGAGCAAAACTCCATCTTGTATATGAACGTCGCAAAATTTAGTGCTTCTTGTTCTCCCAAATTAAGAACAATATTACTTCATAATAAGTCTATACTAGTGATTCTCAACCTTTTGGCTAACGCGTACCATATAAACAAAAATTGACAAACTTCAGTACAACCACTACATTTTATGATAATTATTTTTCAATTTCTCAAATATTAAAAAAAAATTGCCATTTGCACAACCTGTTGACTATTTGTTTTAAATATGCACGCATAAAAAACCTTTTAAAACTAAACCTATTAATTTTAAAAGATTAAACTTTTAACCTTTTAAAACTAAGTGTAAATTAGGATCCACTTTTGTTTCGTATTTATTTTTCAAATACAACATGGCAGAAAATCCTTGTTCACACAAATAGGTTTTGCATTAAAATTAGGCACAGGCATTGGCATTAAAAATTTAATTACATAGGCATTAAAAATTTAATACCTTTATTTGAAATGCCTTTAAACTGGTTTTTTCGGTTCAGCCAAACGTTAACAAGTCTGTTGTTGTTGAAACCATCAGCTAGAGTTCGATCGCAAGAAATTTATATCAATTGTTCTTTTTTTCAGAAGATTACTGAATTTAATAGTTAAAAATACTTTGTTTCTTTCCTTAGCACTTATTTTTCTCTTGCGTACCATGAGTGGTACACGCGTACCAGTGGTTGAGAATCGCTAGTGTATACAATTCTAAATTTCGACAGTGTTCAAAAGCTAAACCGAGGCGCAGTGATCGATAGTTTGGACAAAATAACACTTTGTAATACGTATATTCTTTTTGAAACACGATGTATAAGGATTCCAAGGTTAAGGCATCTACAACTAAAAATTTAAACAAGAATATGTCTAAAAACAAAATTTCTATAATATTCTGCATTTATAGGCTCATTGTGTTTCCATTTCAGTTTTAAAGTTAGTGAAATGCAATTTCTTAATTCCTTGTATGAAGTAAAGGAAGTATTGTAATCGCGAAAAATTTCGGGTATCATATTTGAACAATATCCATTTCGACCGCTCTCGAATCCTTCTAAGGATGTTTTTGCATGACGTCTGTCATATGGATTTCTTGACGTCTGTACGTGCGTATATATGTTTCTCGCGTTATTTAAAAACGAGTAGCCGTAGAATGTTGAATTTTGTATATGGGATTGCTATAACATGTAGCTGTACAGCACCCTTTTTCGTTACAATCGCCCGCACCAAACTTATATGGAACGGAAATATATGTATGGGGGAATATGTTTACTCGGCTCAGTGAGCTTAGTTTTTTGTTTTATGTATTGGTTAATTTCCCATTTTTCGCCTTAAAAGCGATTGAAATATGTTGTTCTTATGTCCCGATTAAAGTTTTTATGCTTTTAGTTAAGCTGCATGCAATAGTTTTAGAATCCTCAACAATTTAAAAGTTTAAAATGCACGTTAAGCCTAAAGAGACGCCATTTGTTTATATTTGAAAAGTCAGTAGGTGCACCAACTTCAATGTCTTTTTGAACAGTGGAATGGATCAAAAGTTAACTTTCAGTTTTGTGCACCGAAAATTTTCTTTTCATGTCCTCTGCCCGAATTGCTTTTTTTTTTTTTTTTTTCCGAAAAACCTAACTTTAATTGAAAAAAATAAATAAAAATTAAACTGTTTTTACCTGCATTTGGTGTTTTATGTTTTTCTGTATTTGACAATTTTTAATGAAGATGCTTTGAGTTTTTATGTATTTTTGCTTTGCCTTGAAGTGAGACCTGAATTTATTGAATGAGAAATATATATCTCTAATGAAATTCGAGGAAATATGTTTAAGTAAAGTGCAGCGAAAAATGAGTATAATTTAATAGGCCGTGTCAGGAAGTCATGTGGTGGCTGCATCAGATACTTCTTTTAAAGTCGGTCGACTTTTGAATGATATCGCGAATGTATTTGATATTTAATAAATTATTCTTGTTCCAATGCAGTTGGAATACTTTCATCTTTCTGTATGACTGATAAATGTTCCTTATTTACAGGATATATTAAAGAATTTCAGTTTTGTCTTAGGTAATGAACTGGACTGGCCTGAAACATCTTTTGCAACAGGTAGATATTCATTTTAACAGCATATTGATCTTCAATTAGCCCACTTGAATGCACAGTAACATAAGAATTATACTTCAAAAATATCGGTTACAGAAAATAAAGTACATAACAGAGCACAAATTTATTTTTAATAATGTTTATTTACATTCACAACTTTTGTAACTGCACAAGCTTTCTAGAATCAGCTATTTTAATATATATCCAAAGGTTACGTCAATAAAGAACAATAACATATTTTATTTATTTTATTTATTATTTTTTGAATACTCCGATTATTGAGGTATTTGATTATATAAGGAACGAAATTTTTTTCGGAATCATACTGAGCTCTTAAAAAAAAAAAAAAAAAAATAAGCTACTTTCTAAAGCAAAGGGAAAAAAATTCGCATTCTCTGTAATTCTTATCATACGGAAAATCTTTTTTCATCAATCCCTATTTCCTGGTACCTTTTTTTTAATGTTTACCTTCAGATGAGAACTATTATGTCGTTTTTCTACTTTGGATGCTGCAGATAGTACCAGTGCTGATAATTTCAAAATATTTTTATATTTCGAAAAAATAATGAATTATTTTTATAATAACTGGTAGCCTGAAAGATAACTAAAAATTGTTTGTTAACTGACAATTTTACATCCATGCTTTCTCCGAACTCGAATCCGGGTCCTTTGGTATCGCAGTCAGGCTCCCCTAACCACTATACCATCTGGCCGGCTCGTGTGCTGTAAATTACGCCCCACTTAGAAAAATGTCTGATTTATGTGAGATAAAATCATTTAATAAGCAGTAGGAATTTCCTAGCTTGGCATTCTTTTTCCTCATATAGCATACAATTTCGAAATGATAAATGGAATAAAAATGGTTGCATCACTCTTCTTAGGTTGTTTAAAACGCTTTATAGTTTTAAATCTCTGATTTACACTTTCTTTTTGAAAGGAACACTTTTCAGATTCAACTTCACTGTTACATTCTTAATAAAGTTCTTTTTTAAAAGATCGAACGCAATATCCCGAAAGTAGCTGAAATGTTAAATTATTTCGCATCAAGATACCAAGATATCGTTATATCCTTGAAAATGAATTAGAATAAATAAGAGAAACGTGTAGTTAACACTCCATAAGTAAAGCATTTCTGTTAAATTTAATTTTGAATGCATGAAGAATCGCTTTTTTTCATTTGTAACAATGCCCAAAACATTGAGGAAGAAATTGTGATTTTATGTGTGGTCTGCACAGCATGAAAATGTCTGCGTGAAATTTGACTCATAGTTCACCGCCAAAGAATGTGTCCTATTTGATGCCAAAGTTAATGAGTGTCTGCTTATATTGAAAGAACCAAGAACATACGATTTACCGCCCAACCGGAGTAATGGTTAGCGACTCTGACTGTCCTACCGAAGGGCACGGGTTCGAATCCCGAAGAAGGCATGGACGTTTTAAACGTATCGTGTCTGTGGGGCATGGGGGCAGTCAAAATATACGGGAAGCCGAAAGCCCTCTTGAGAGGTTGCTGGTAGGGGAAGGGGTGGGAGATCTCGGACCCGTCCTCCTGGGGTGCTCTTTTTCAAAATTGGGGGCGGAACGGAACAAAGTCTTACCGTTACCTGTATGGTGACCAAGATTCTTGCCAACGACAAGAGCAATCTTGCCTCCTAGTCACGATGAATTTCAGGGCTTGTTCTGGTATCAGACTAGCGAGATTATTCACAACAATAACATACGATTTTCGCCAGACAAAGAAGAATTCAACCCATACTGCTTCGAGAATAAAGTTCATGGCTTTATGATGCAAATAATGAAGTTTTCTCTCTGATCGCATTTCTGGCACAATGAAGTGATTGATATGTAGCTGTCTAGGTATTCAACTTGAAGCTATAAGTTGCTGCATTGTTTGAATAGTGCATCAGAACTATCACGGAAAGAAAAATCCCTCGTACGAACTGCAAAGTGACACCCTGTCAGAAATGCTTACTTATTTGAAGACATTTCAGTTTTCTCTGACAGTAAAATTTTTTTAACAATAACACAGAAATTAGGGTTTAAATATAATTCCCTTGCTTCAAATTATCTTGCAAGTATTTTGTTTAACCGCAAATTAAAATTTGAACTCAAGTGTAACCTTTAGAAGTAGTCACATCTCAGCCGCGTAAGAAACTTTCAGCATAAAAAAAAACTCGCGCTTTTAGTATAAGTTATTAGGGAGCTATCTATTCAGAACATTAAAAGAAGACATTTCTAACGATAAAATTCTCATGTTTCTGATAATAAAATTTCCGCTTAATATATTTATGAAATTTATGCTCTAGTGCTAAAAAATGAAGAGCAATGATTGAAAACGGGATGTATCCATCTTAGTAGTAATACACTTTAACTTATATTCACCACGATTTCATTTTCTGCGCAGATAATTCATATTACCACGATTGTTGTAAAATAGCTGGTTTTCTGCTCAGATCATTTTAGAAGTTTTATGATAAATACAGTATATGAACTTTTTCTAACTTTTCTATAAGTATTTTCATGCCTAGTAATAATGTATCATCTATCATATAAATAAATACTTTTTTGCCCGTTATGATATTATCTTTGTATTTTAACTTAATGCTATATATGTCAATTTAATACATTATTAAGAATACGGGAAAATATGACGATAGTGAAATGAGCTTCAGCTCCCATGTCTGAAAGATATTAATAGGGATAAAATAAACTTTGGTATTTATGAAACATTTCTTCTCAGCGCGCGTACGTACAAAACAATTTTATTTAGTACATTTTTTTAATAATGATTAGCACTTGATTTTTTTTATATTTCAGGTTTTCAAAATCTCTCGTGGCCTATATTACATGGTACAACGGATTCAATGTATTTGAGGCTTAGACAAAGGAATCTGTGCAACCACCGTGACTTCCAGAACATTTGCTTCAATGGTATAAATTCTTCAATTTGTTACCATAGTTTTATTTAAAACTAGCCGAAGTACCCGATGCCAGTTAAGTTAGACTGAAAGTAATGTATCTAACAACAGAGCGAACGATACCGCTGTAATCCGTCTCTAATAACGATACAAAAAATAAGATTCACACTCATGCATTTTTCACTCTGATGCGATATGGAACTCACATAAAAAATTTCGATAGAAAAATAAACTAATTTTCTCATTATATCAGCAACAATTGCACGCAGTTTGTAAAAGCTCAAGTTCCATCCAATATTTCACCTATATTCAATTTTAATCGATTAAATGAGGCAAAACATTTATCATAATTGATTAGAAATCAACAACAAACAAACACACAAACAGGCATTCTTCTTTATATATATATATATAGATTTTGGGAAACTTACAAATTTTTGATTAACAAAACCTACGATTTGAAAGAGGGCAGTAGCAACACTTTTCGAAATAAAGCATTTTTATCCTCCCAACGCGCGACACTGTTGCCACTCGGAAAAATGAGTGCGAAATCTCGGCTGGTTAAAGTCGTGCCACGATGGGAATGGTCGAAATGGCTTCCCACGAATTTTTGGAATCGGGAATAATGTATTTAATTTTTGGCAATATTTTTATTTCATTGTAACACTTCGGAATTTTTTATTAACAAACTCTGCGATTTGAAAGCGAGCACGGGCAACACTTCTCGAAATAAAGCAGATTTTTATCTCCAGCGTGCGAGACTGTTGCCACTCTGAAAACTGAGGGCGAAAATTAGCGTTTTAAGAATTTTTAATTAATATCTGTGATATTAGCCCTTTTTTATTTATTGGAAAAAAGTGGACGTCGACCTTTTCCAGAACCTAATAAAGGATTGTAGAAAGTTTGAAGACGATAACTATAGAAGTGACTGAGTTATTAGTGAACAACGTTCTTCTTTATATAATATAGATGAAAAAGGAATCATAAAAATAACAGTGCATATTTACTTCGCTGCTAGCTATTTTAGAAAGATTATAACAACAAATAAACAAATAAAACAAAACAGTCAGGCTTTTTTCACCTAAGCTTGTGCATTAAAGTCATATAAAATTTTTTATTACTATCATTTTTACCATTTATACTCTTATTTACAAATATATGTATGTATATTATATCTCTTTTTAATGGGACATAATTTTTCCTCTTTATATTCTTAAATACTTTTTGTGTGTCAACTCTTGGCTAACCAGCGGCCGAGCGGTCGCTAAACACTGGTAGTTCGGTTCGAGGTTCGAATCCGCGAACGGGCTGGCTGCATAAGCGTTTTCGTGGTTTCCCCCATGTATAACGTGTATACGAGCCAGTTTCCCTTAGAAAGTCCTCCACGAAGGCATCCCTCCCCTTAGGCAGATAGCCCTCGAGGCTTTGCCATAATCACACATACACACACATTGTGTCAACTCTTATTCGTTGTTTCTTTTTTTAAAGAAATTTTGAAGCAATAACTTTCAGACTAAAGACTTTTGGTCTGTAAAATATGTCTGTGATATTTCCAACTTTTGTCGTGTGCTAGTTAGTTCGACATTATGAAATCGTCTAATCTGTCAAAGTTTAGAGATAAACTCTAAAACCAGTGACTTTTGTACTATGGAAGTCCACTTCTGTGAGTATAAACTAAATCTAGGAGCTTTTTCAAAAACTGCTTTCCTCTCAAACTCAAACTGCTCAAAAACTGTTTTTCAAGAGAGATCTAAGGAAGAGCCAAACAAATCTGATTCTTTGTAATGTTTGTAAGTGTGTAATATTTGTGCGTAAGGGAAACTCAAAATACACGGCTAGCCGAAAGGCCACTTGAGAGGTCGATGGTAGGAAAAGAGCGATGGAAAAAGTCTCGTAGCGCCTCCAGAATGTTTTCCTTCAAACCTGGAGTGGAAGACAGTGCGACGGGACTATACCTGTACGACCAATGGTGAATCTGGTTTCCTACTCACTTTTACCTGTACCTTTATTCTACTTGTTCTTCAGAATGAAAGGAACATACTCGTATAATTTATGTAACAAGCTCCAGAACAATGAAAAAAAGATATAGAGATGCCGGTATTGCGCTACCGGTATTGCGCCGGTATTGCGCTACCGTTTTTTTTCTGTTACACATCTACATTTAAAATATTACCTCAAAATCCTGAACGACATTGGTCCATGACACGGATTAATGAAGAGTTTTTAAATTCAACTGTTCGAGTTATAAGCTTTACTGCAGTACATTTATATAAATGTTTACACATACATTTTTGTTTATTCGCGTAATTTTTTTATCGTATATTTGTTCTTTGTTTTGTTTTATTGTAATTTTGAACAATTTATCTGTATTTTGTTTATTTTTATTAGTCTGAAGGGGCAATTTGCCCTGAAGGACTATTAATTTCATTCTGGCATTTTGCGTTGAAAACTATAAACGGCGAATTACTTTTCAAATTGTTGCCACCAAATATTATCGCTCTGTATTCTATTTAAAGAAATTAAATAATGAAGAATCTGCATGAATGTATGTATGTTTCTCACATTGTGGTAATACAACGGTACCTAGAGCCATCAAAATTCGAATAACGTAATCTTCCATAGAATATGGGCATGTGGAAGTCCTAATTTGAATTTGAAATTTGTTTTATTATCTATTTCATATTTTTTAACACTCCAATGAATTTTTGATTAACAAACTCAAGGATTTCAAAGTGAGCAATGGCAACGCTGTACAAAAAAATTAATTTTATCTCCAGCGCGCGAGACTTCGTATCGGAAATTCTAAAGATAGGATCATTTTAAAATTATTTTGCGATATTGCTCTTGACTGAATTTTATGGTTTAAGTGCGAAGAACATGATATTTAATAAATAAACGTAACACACAAAATGTTAAAAAAGCCCCATTAGACGTAATTTAAAATCTGAAATCCTTCAGATTTTTCAGCTTTTCTGTTTATTTTTAATCTGTGTATAATTGTATATTGCTTATGAAGCACATCATGTCTTCATATATTAAATGATAAAGATAATCGGAATATGCAAATAGCTCGAGCAGACTCCAAAATATGTCTTGTTAAATTTAGCGGGTCTTGGCTATGGATTGATATGTTTTCGGCGGCTGTGTTATGAGCGTGGAAGCATCTTGAAGGACTTTATCTTACACTTCTAAATCGATTTCTGCCTTCGGAAAAGGGGAAAAGGAAACGTATCTTGAGCACTGAGTTTCACGCACTCCCTGACAGCACCTTTGTCTTTATGATAGAATTTGTACATATATGTCACCTTTTGAGCACTGAGGTTCTGAATTTTAAAAAGCAGGTCATTCTGTACTCTTTTAGGACTAAATGTGCGTTATTTTTCTTCTTCCGGATAAAATTTAAACGTATCTTATATTATGAAAGGTTATATTTCACTCTTATCAGTAACTGTATTTAAGAATAGAGTTTTCCTTTTCATTCTTCATTTTATTTTGAGAACCACATTATCCGTCTAAGTTAATAATATTAACAGCTTTCAGTAATATTAACAGCAACAGTAATATTAACATTTTAGTAATATTAACATACATGTGCATAATATAAAATATAAGACAAAAATATGTTAAACCAAATTCAAATTTAAAATTGCAGTAGCCCCTTAACTCTTCATTTTAATTTGGGTATTTCCGCTTTCTGTTCGAAAACACTAATTGCTTGTAATAAACTTCTCTAAACTGCGTAATTTCAAAATTAGTAACCTCCATTATTTGTCTTCTACTTAACGGCAGTGAGTTAAAGATTTTGCGAACTAAAACTCAAGCAATCCATGCTAATTTTAGAGCTTTATTAATTAGCCAATCAAAATTATATCGAATCGGAATTAATCAAATTAAGATTTCGTCCAGAGCGCATCACATTTCGCTTCTGCTCCTCTTGCTGAGGCGCTGCTTTCTTCTTCCCGCAATAATAGCAAAACTGTAATGTTAATAAAATTAATATTTAAATCTGCTTCGACTGCCAAGTATTTTCTTCATCAGTGAGCTATGTATGCTTCAAACTTCAACATCTATCTGGGTTATTTTCTATGTTATTACACACAAACACAGACATATATATATTGTTGCGTTTTTCTTTTTCTGACACCAGTTCTTGCGTTTTTTTTCCTTCACGTTCGTACGGGGTTCGTGTGGATTTGGAGTGAATAGCAACGATACTTGATGAAGTATCGAAACACACTTTTATTTGCCAGTATTGTCAGGACAGCTCCAAAACACGTTTTACAGTCGTCGATGAACTACAATAAATACGCTGACACGATCAGCGACACAGCCTTCAGGTTATCAGGCTATCACAGTGAAGACAGCTTCACCGCAAAGCACCAGAGTACAGCTCCCGACTCTGCTCAGTCGTTCTCGGAACTCCATGTAATCTCGAGACTCTCCACACTACAACTAGCGATGCACTCGACGACACACAGAGCACGGCTCCCGACTCTTCGGTCCAGTCGTTCCCGGAGCTCAACACGCTCTCTCGACGATGCACTAACCGCGTTACACTAAGAGACTCCTTCGGTGCACTCGACGACCCACTCGGCACTCCCTGCCCGACTGTCAACTCGATCGACTCCGCAGGGATTGACTCGCTAGACGAGACACCAACTCGTTGCTAACTATCTCGCACTCTCGGAGCACACGCTCTCGCCCTTTCGACGAGGCACACTAACTGACTGCGGACCAGCAGGGTTTATATAGCTTTCGGCTTGTGTTCGAGAACATTCTGGGCTAAACCGGTAAGAATTCGTTCCAGAAGGTTCTCCAACCGTCCATGGTATATCGCCAATTTTGACGCCAAATATTGCAAAATGGGCGATTTTTGCCAAATGTAGCAACCCTGCCTTCCCTTGCTATTTTATGGCAAACCTAAAGCTGCTTTGCGGGGAAGCCATCTTACCGCGCCTGTACATTTCGTAACAATATATATATATATAATTTATCTCCTAAACAATATTGATTAATTGATTCTATTATCTCCTAAGTTTAATTAAAGTAGAATTATTTTAAAGAGAAGATCATACAACATTATATATATATATATATATATATATATCTATATATATATATATAAAATGTTTATATCTATATGAATATATTTAAGAGTTTTTTGCAATATTAAAATCAAACGCATTAATTATGTATGTTATGTGAACAATAGTCTGAACCTGAATGAACTAGAGTATATAGACTGATGACTCTAAAATACAAGACAACACTAGGGTTGGTGTATACAGTAAACGTTATTCGAAATGAACTCCTGTGGGACACTTCATGTCGAATTTTGATGCAGAGATCCTTACAATCTAACTGGCTCTGGAAAACCTCATGGTAAAGACCGATTGTTTCTCTAAAGCAGTTATTCTAGTCGATTCCAAAGTAGCCATCCAGGCTGTGGTTATAAATTATGACACAGATACGCAGAAAAGTTTTTGTCAAAAATCCCGTAAAAGAGGCTGTGGCAAACTTCAGACTGCAAACAGGTCACGATTGCATGGCACATCATCTTAATAAAATTGGCATACTTCCATTTAGTATATGTCAAATTTGCGATTTAGCCATCATGAATGCAAAGCATCTTTTTATATGCCCAGAACTAGATAAAGAGTCTCAGAAACGTGGTGAGATAAGTAAACTATATTGGAATGCCAGAGTTTTCATGAGCTCCTCATAAAGACTACATCTCTTATGTTCCTTTCCTTGTTGTTTAAATTTTTAACTTTTTACTTTTGTTCCCGTGTTCATTTATTTTGATTCTTTATAAATGTTTGTTCTTTTATATTATTTATCATTGTTCTTGTGTGATACTTGAGCTGTTCTATATGTTTAGATTGATCTTTCCAATAAAGCTGTATGTAACAACATATTTAAGAGTTATCTTGCTGTTTTTCTTGCGTTGATTTTTGCTGGATTTTCTTTATCTGAGAAAACTGCTGTCACCTCAAGCCGAAATTAAAATTCAAGTTTATTTTGCTCGTCTGTTCTGATTATTTAAAGAGATTTTGACGAACACGTTAACATATAACAATATGTATATGAATACATGTAATCCCTCTCTCTCTCTCTGTATATATACATTAATAATGTAAAAAATAACTATTTTAGGAATTTAAAATTTGTCATTTTTGCATTTCAGGAGCTGCATCTTCATCGATGCTGTCATATTTAGAAACGTATGTAGTAAAATTAAAACATTTTTATATATGAAATTATATCGTCACATCCTGTGAAACTGGCTTGCTGCCCAGTATTTTCTGTATTAAATGAGTATTTATTTGCAGTATCGCAAGAAATCCACAAGATGATAAACCTGCCCTTGTCTTTTACGGGATGATGGGAAATGACGTTTGCCGAAGGTATACTCACATATTTAAGTGTTATTGTATTAGAATTCATAGAGTTATTTGTAATTTATGTATGAAAAAATGTTATTAACTCTACATATATTTTATCTTAGTTGTATTATTTATTTCTAGGTGGATGAGTTCACTAGAAGACTTAACAACGCCCGAAGAATTCAGACAAAATGTAGAATCTACTCTTGATAAATTAGTAAGGAAATGTTTAAAACTTTTAAAGAAATAATTTACACTATAATATTAGACATTCTATAGATCCTAGACTTTCTACACAATGCCGAAAGTAATACGGTGACAATTATTCATTGAAGGCTATTTATCCACACCTTATAAATTTTAGTTAAAAATAATCTTTTCTAATTCATCTTTATTTTTCCTATCTGTTCGCAGCGATTTAATGGTGCTTGCTTAGCTCATCTCTAGCCATTCTCTTACAAACCAGCTCTTGGCCTCTTTGCATCATGTTAGTTTTACTTTTGGATATTCCAAGATCTTTCATCCTCACAAAGTATCTAATTTTTTAATTTAATTCCTTCTTCTAAATGTTTATTTGTTTATCGCATATAAATAGGCATTACAGAGGGTGTGCGGCCAAAAAAATCATATGCAGAGAAAAGTGTTTATTTCCACTATATTTAAATAAATCCTTCAATATGTATATATATCAAAGAGTCCCCAAAATAACAGGACTGACAAATCTGTAGTCAAGAAATTCATAAATATGTGCCTTACCGCTAGGACTTAGCATTTCCCTTAGTTGTTTACTACTCAGTCTGAGATCAGTGGTTCATTCTCGGGTCTGATATGTTGTGCTTGTTTCTCAGCAGCATTTTGTCATCCCCACCTTTTTTTTTTAAATGTACGAGCACAAAAAAACAGACAGTGTGCGTGAAATTTTGATTTCCATAGAAAACTGATTTGAGACCGTATTATATGTTGTCAAACCCTTTTGATATTATTTAAAGATAAAGTAAATTAAAAGTGTATTAGTGATTTCTTGAATTAAAAAATGGCATATAGCAAATGAAGACTATTACGACTTGGACACCCATTGACGAGCGAAGGGGGAAATTGACAAAATGTGACAGGCTTTTTAAAGATTGCCGAAGGATCATTCAAGTAGATTTTTGAAAAAACTCTTTTCATCCGACAATTTGTAGTAAAAAATGGCATGGTGCTTGCCTTTCACGTTACTGACCAAATATTTTTACTCGGTACAAATGTTTTCTGTTTCAACGGGTAAAAAAAGTATTCAGAAAGCAATTCAGTGATGTGGCTGAGGTGCAAGAAAACACAACAGTGAGGAAAACATGTACCGATGCGGGTGGAGAACTTTTTGAAGCAAACTAAATTATTTTAATGTGAAGTATAATATAATTGCTTTGATACAGAGCACCCCTGGGGAACGGGTCCGAGGGTCTCCCATCCCTCTCCCATTCTACCAAACGACACGAGGTGCCGCCATGCTACACCGACACTACACATTTACAAACATCTATGCCTTCTCCAGGATTCAAACCCGGGCTCTTCGGCACGGCAGTCAGCGACGCTAACCACTATATCGTCTTTGGCGGCGGAATATTGTTTGCCCCCGCAAAGCTTCATCTTAATTAATCAATAGGTACTATTCCGTTTTGAGGACCGTAAAAAAATTGCAACGAAAATGTATGCGCAAAAGCGCCAAATCTAGCAAACGCGCTCATTTAACAGCGCGCCAAATTTAGAGTACGCGCTGATTTCAGATTGCGTAAGTTTATATAGTTCTATATTTCTTAACATGCCATTGAAATACTAGTTTAATTTTTATATCCTTTTTTGATATCCTATGGATTCAACAATTTGGGAATTGCCCGTGACGAAAAGTCTGTAATAGAATTTTGAGTAAAGTGCAAAATCACCCACTGCTTGACGCGTTTTTAAGAATTGCACATACTCGGTATCCATGTACACATCGACCTATTTTCACTTAAAAAAAAATCCCAGAATTGCACAAAAATGATACTGAGCACACTCTTGACTTTATCTATGTACACATCGACCTATTTTCACTTAAAACGCAAATGAAAATTGACAAAAATCTAATTGTTTTTACCCTTGTAAAAAGAGGCAAACAAATAAGTGGACGATTCTGCACTTTACCCACAATTTTTTCATAGAAAAGGCATCATTCATTACAGAAAATTATGCGTGAACAACCAACGAGATAAAATTATGTTTTAGCGATAACACGGTAGCGAAATAGCGATGCAGGCATCCATTCAGTTATGTTTAGCAATTTTTATATAAATTATAATAATGATCTGAAATAGTTATTTACTCTTATGCTTCCATTCAGTCATGTTTAGCCTTTTTACTTCCTTGTACGAAGTAAAAAGGAAGTATTGTAATCGCGAAAAGTTTCAGGCAGCATATTTCAACGACAATATCCATTTTGACCGCTTTCGAATACAATTTAACGATGTTTTTGCGTGATATCTGTACGTAAGAACAGAATAAAAGACTCTTTTCCTACAAAAAAAATTATAAAATGAGTTCTGAAGAGAATTTTTCGTGACGTCTGTACGTACGTACGTACGTATCTCGCATAACTCAAAAACGAATAGCCTCAGAACGTTGAAATTTTGTATATAGCACTAGTATAATATGCAGATGTGCACCTCGTATTTTGGTTGCAATCGGCCGCGCCAAACGTACATAAATATATTTATATATATATATCCACTCTGTAACCCGGCTCAGTGATCTCAGTTTCTTTACTTTTATATGTTTGTAAATTGTGTATTTTTTGCTTTAAAAATGATTGAATTATATTGAATTATGTTGTTCTTATCTTCCGGTTAAGGTTTTTATGCCTTTAATGAATCTGTATGCAATATTTTTAGAATTATCAACAATTTTAAAGTTGTTTAAGTGCCGCTAAGCTTAATAATTTTTTTGATGGCGGCCATTGCTTGTTTACATTTGAAACAGCAGAGTAGTGGATTTGATGGCCAATCTAGAGAAAGGTAGCTTCGCAACAACAAAGATAACGCCTTCATTTATTATTGCGAATTAAATCATGCTTAATCCTTTCTGGAAATTTTTCGAGGAAATACGTGTTTAAGACTTACTTCGTAATTTTTAATACAGATATTTTGAGTTTTTATGTATTTTTGCCTTGTCGCGAAGTGAGAACGGAATTAATTGAATGTGAAATACTCAATCGTCTGTGAAAAACTGTTTCTTTTTTGTTTTGCTTGCTTAATTTTTTTTATATATCGTTCTAGGTTTATTATAGTATTTGAATAGAACATTTTTGGAAACGATTAGATAATTCTTTAAATGATGTAAATTTTGTGCATTCTGAGTTATAATATGAACGAAATATAATACTGTTAAGTGAACCTAGCGCCAGAGTGCCGCTATGGTAAACAAATAGCGTGAATTTTAAAGAATGCATTTATTCTATTGGGGTTTATGCTCTGTCGGCGAAGTAGATTTAATGCAATCCAATAAGTTTAAAAGAAATGCAAGAAAAAATGCGTATAATTTAATACTTCGTACAAGGAAGTCATGTGTTGCACACATCAGATTTTTTTATATAAATTTTAATAATAAAAAAGTATTATACGAAATTAACATTTCATCTAAATTAAAACATCAATCTCAGATAATTATTTACTATTATACTTCCTTTCTTGCGTTAGGGTTGCTGCAATTATTTTGGCAGCACTGGCATCAACGTTAGTTTGGCGATTTTTTACAGCCCTCAAAACCGAATAGTACCAGTCAATTTAATCAAACATTATTTTACATGATAGAACCTTTATTTTCTATTTAATTTTATGTATCATAAATTTCTGTACAATATTCCCATTACAATTAGTTTACATGATCTTTTTCAGAATGAAATTCTGCCTTCAGGAAGTCATGTCTTACTCATTGGATTAGTAAATGCAAGTTTTGTGTTTGATACTATGTGTGAAAGAGTGCATCCCATAGGAAAGTTACGTAATGATGTTCGATATGCTGATGTCTACGAGTGGTTCAACTGCATGCGGATTGGACCCTGCTATGGCTGGCTAAACAAAAATGAAACAATTCGACAAGCTACAACGCAGGTAAAAATTCTTACGCAAGTCCAAACAATATTTACGCCCCATTCATTCAATTCTTAAATTGTTTCATTACAGAGAAGAATTTTCTGCATGGAGAGGTCTTTAAATACAGTGAAGAAACAATACGTAAATATATAATTAAACAAAAATATAAGTAAAAGCCAACGGTAATTTTCATGTGTTCTAGAATTTCGATTCAGTGGGTAGAAAAGTTTTGTTTCGCGAAGAAGAGGAGTTCGTTTTACTTTCCCTCGAGATGCATAATTTTCATAATAGACCAATGTTAATTTGAAATAAAATTTTGCCCAGCTAAAAAAAAAAAAAAAAAAAATCGTTTTTTAACTATCAGAAACAGTTTATAGTTGTTTTGATTCTATATTATCATAATGCTGTGAAACTTCCATAAAACGACTATTCTTGGTTTTGTGTGATTCGTTGTCCTTCAGTAGTGATCGCCTTTAGAAAGAGGACTATCGGTAATGATGACTATTTCACTGAAGTGTGTTCTGTATAAAAATATACTGTGGTTAATTTTTATGCACTTTAATCTTTATTATTCTTTACTTTCTTTACAAATTTACATCTAATGAGTATATTAAAATGCTAGATTTATACAAAACTTAAAATTAAACTAAATTAAAGTAATTTAAACATTCAGGGTAAAAATTACCAATTTCAATAAATTCTTTAAAGAATTTTGTGCAAGAAATTTTTTTATTTGAATGTATTATACATTTACACTCTCACTTTAATCTTGACGTAAGTTTACATGATCTCGCACGCAGAATGCCTCCTTATCAGTATAACACTATTTGCGAAGTAATAGAGGTGGCGTAATTCTCATATTAAAACTGTTTACAGTTTTTCGACGTACAGCTTCATGGTGAAGATATTAAAGTGCAAAAGTTAGTGACGTCGTGCAACTTTTCTCTTTGGATTAAAATACATGTCAGCAACACAAAAATAACTGTTGGCTGTTGTTTTATTTATCTTCCTGTTGTTTCAAGGCACGTTCGAAAATAAAAGAAACGTTATTAATTTAAAGCAAAAATTAGTTGGTGATTAAGAATGACATTAATTTACATGCAATGTTCATTAAACAAATGTTTTATTGATTAAACGTCTTTATTATTTGATTATCCGTATATAATAATGTGATACTGAAATAGCTGTATGGAACATTATCATCCGCTAAAAAGCAAGTGTTTTATCAAGTATTTTTTACTGCAATCTTTCAGAATTTCCTGGAGAATTTTAGATAATGTCAAATACCATTTTTAATAATGCTGTCTTTGTTCATGCTCGTTGATTTGTGTAGCAGTCTTAATGTTTGCAGAGTTGATTTTCAGAAATTACAATACAAGAAAAAGCAGACTACGATGCACTTGTTCTACCAGGGTTAGTTCTGTAATTTCACTTTAGTGGTTCCTTATCATGCAGATGCTAATAATTTCGTCGAAAGACAAGTGTTAGCTACTTGTTGTCAATTTAGGAATTGTTTTGTGGCTAGTTGCTTGAGCAGCTATTTTTTTCCCGGAACTTCTCTGAAAATGAAACACTAATACGTCGTTTGCTAGAATTTTGTTCCCTACACTTCAGCTCAAATTTTTGTATCGACGAAATAAGATATACTGCTCAAAACATTTAGGGGATATTGTAAAGTTCGGTATGAAATAACCATATAATAGACAACTTTTTTAATAAATATGAAACAGAAGAGCTTAAAAAAAGGAAAATTATAACGTTTACAAAGCTAGGAATACACAAATCTTGTCTGTGACGTCGAAAACTACACTTTTTATATAAGGAGTACAAAGCGGGCCTGCAGCATTTCTTCTGTAGAAGGTGATAAAAAAATCTGACACGAGTCGAGTGTTTTGTAACAGTGAATACGATGTTTCAGTAAGATGACTTAGCCGAATCGGTACTCTGGAGGGCTCTGTCGTTTAAAGGCGGGTGAAACACAATTCGCTGTAGCGGAAGTGTAAGAAGTTTCATTTTCAGACTATGGAATCGGTTTTGGGAAACTAGAAATGTTCACTGACGATTGCGCAAGGTCGTAACACCTGCAGCATCAAAAAATGAAGATTGTTATTTAACACTAACGGCCAGAAGAAGGGCACTATGAACGCCACTTTCTTTCGACAGCACCTTCAGAGGGCTACTTGTACCAGCATTTCGACTGAAATTGTCCGAAACCGACTCCACCATGTAGGTTTCTACGCTCGCAGACATATGATTTGTAATTCGTTGACACAGACTACCGTGCTGCAGAAATCGAGGACGAATTCACTCTCATGGATGATAATGCTAGGCCACAACGGGCTCAGCTAGCGGACAATTTCTTTTTCGACGAAGGAATCCTTCGAATAGTTTGGGCAGAATTTTCCCCAGATACGAAACCAATGGAACATGTTTGGGACATTCTGTGAAAAAGGGTTTCTAGTCGCTTATTATTCTAAGAAACAATTCAGCAGTTTGAAAGCTCTTTGCTATAGGAATGAGAAAGAATACCCTAGTCCCTCGTTGATTCCGTACGTTGTAGGTATGCGACATTGCTTTCGGTCAGACGAAACCACATCCCTAACTGAAACTCATTTGTATCCGAGAAATTATAATTTTTGTTTGTTTATGCACAGATTTTTCACTTTTTGTTTACCGACAAATATCTTCAATAAAATTTAATTATTCCTTCTTCGTTGCTCCCTTTTCTTTTTTTCATATGTTGCAACACCTATACATAATATATCAAACACCAAAACATTTCCTTCTCCGCAGTTTATACCGAAATCATAATATTGCCTAATTGTTTTGAGTAGTGTATTTTGAGCAAATTTTATGGGGAGAATCACTTTGTGGTCCTTTTTTTTTCCTTTATAGTGTTTCTTTATTGGCTCTTCCAATGTTCTTTTTAAATTGCTATCAGTTAAAATAAATAGCTGTAGAATCTTTGAAATTATCCAATAGATTATTTTACTATAAAAGGGGCAGAGATCATTAGGGATTTTACTTGAGAGCAGGAGTGATGAAACAAGAAGAGAGAAAACACTCTAAACGTTTTGCAAAGTGGATATGACATCAAAATTTTTTTCACTGTCTTCTCAAGGAATGAGTTTGTATTTAATTAAATTTCATAACATTTTCACATTACGGTGACTCTTTATTACACATCAAACTGTACAGAGCTGATTACAGGATAAATTACGTATTTAGCTCAAAATGATATAGTTTCTCGTTTATGTAAAAATAATATAGTCATTTGTTTTTTCCTTTTAAAATTCTCTAAAGCCTGCACATATTTCAATATGATGCATTAGCGTATTCTGCTTCAAAATATGCATCTGTATTATCATATAAAATGCTTGATCATATGCTTCAGTTAATGTAGTAGTTAAACATTAATTAAAATATGATAAGTTTGGAACTTAAACCATATTAGCATGTTGAATAGGAGATTCAAGCTTAATATGCTGAACTGCTATATCTATGCAAGGTATGTCAATTAATGAAGGCTGGATTATATATCAGTGAGCCAAGTTCGAATAAAACATGGCCGTTTATAACTGAAGTTTATTTACAGAATTAGAAAATTCAAAATTCGTCAAGTTTAAGGCCTTCCAGAGAGTTTCGTATTAACACAAATGTAGATGATCAAAGGACTTCCCCTCGATGATCACGGTCGCAAGTGAATGGAGCTGAAAAACAGGCCTTGTGCCTAGCCATTCTTGAATAGTATAATGCACTTTATCCAAATTAAAGAATTGAAATAATTTTAGGATAGAAAATAAATTCTGTTTTAATTCCTTGTTACATATACTGATTTAATAGAATTAAATGTATTCTTTGCGAATGGAAATCACATTTTTTTAATTGTGCTTATTAATAATTCGTTTTTAAGGGCTTTTTTTTTTTTTTTTCCTTCAGAGATCAGTTGAATTGACAGAGGTCCTTCAAGACTTAGCAGAGACAAAAACTTATGACCAGTTTACCCTCCACTTTTTAAGTAATCCTATGGTTCAAGGTAAGTAATGATATCAAAAAGTATGATGTATTTTCCGCTTCTTCTAAATATTGCATGAAAAATAGTGATTTTGACAAATTAATTAACTAACCGACAATCGCAAGAAACTTGATGATCAAATGATCATAAAAATGAAACGTCGTACAAGAATAATTGTAGATACAGCAAATAAATCCACCTATTCCATTTCTACAGAGTATCATAAATGAATAAGTAGAAAGGGAAAAAACTTGTTAAAATAAGTAAGTTTACCGAAATAACTAGCGAGTTCGATTAGCATTTATATGAAATATGTATAATTATTTTTTTCCTTTCATATATTACAGAGATCTCTAATATATATGGAAAATTAAGTAGCTTACTTAATTTTCCATTTCATTAATATAGGTCTAATTGGGTGTTTAAACTTTTAAACGGTTAATAGGAAATAATTTTAAATGGTTAAAAGGAACAGCTAAATAATTGAACAGAAAAGTTTACTTTAGCATGGAAGACAAACTAAATTTTAGAAACTTCAAATAAATGTTTGTTCTGTTAAAATTGTAACAAATCGTTTTCATCATCATTTACCCTGTTAAATATTTAAATTTTACATACTTATATTTTGCCTATATTATAGTAATAAAAGTTATGTACAGAGTAAATCAGAAATATGGCTTCGCATTTGATCACATTGTGTAACGACAAAATCATGACTATAGGAAGTACGATAGTGTCTTCTGAATGTCAACGTCAAACATAAACACAACGTACAATACGAAACAGTCACTTTTAGATTTGCAAAGGATTTGATGAACTTTATGAATGACAATAGAACAATTTTGGGGATTTGGGTTTGATTTTTGTCATTAATTATTGATTTTTTTAAATCTGTGTTGTGTGTGCGGCGTGAACCATGACGTCGATTTATAAGGTATTTCTCCAGTCTTCTTTGCAAGCTTTTGTTGTGTAGTGGTCTGCACGCTCAGCGCGTAATTGAGAGGTTCGCGGTTCCATTCCCGGCGGAAAAACCTAAAAACCTGAAAACGCACGTGTGCGATGTTATTGTCATGCGATGATTTTTGTCGGTACTTTATTTTTTACCACGATATTTTCGACGATGATGTTTTTAAACTGCGAAGTTTTCGACCACGATGTTTTCTCTATGCTTTCTTTTCTCCCACGATGTTTTCATCTTGCCTTCATTTCCTCCTTTTTGCCTTCGTCGCAAAGAAAACAATGCAGGCGTAGCATATTTTTCAGCTCTCCTGCTTCCAAAAAATACCTAATGTATCTACAGTGGCGCCCGAACTAAAAGGGTGTTGGATGATATTTCTCCTCACCCAGGATTTGGCGATTGGGTCCCTTAAAAACCCCAGTCGCCCTTTAAAAGGGAGTATATAAGGTATTTCTCCCGCCTTCTTAGCGAGCTTTCGTGGTGTAGTGGTCTGCAAGCTCAGCGCGTAATTGAGAGGTCCGCAGTTCGATTCCCGACGAAGGCGTTGCATATTTTTCATCTCTCCTGCTTCCAAAAATTACAGATTACTATAGGCCAGGGGGTTGCAGCACACTCGTATATTACAATACCAAACAGTTTGCTTGCCGTTTCTAATACTGCCACCGTCTTTCCGATACTTGTCTATGTACTGGAAAATAACTATTCCAGTATTTATTTAGACTCAGCCTCTAGCCTTCAGGCAATCCAAGGCACATGCAGTAAAAATCCACTCGTCAGGGCCATACAAAAACTCTTCCTAAGAACACCGTCTTTCCGATGTTGCTGCATCATTGCTAGTGCAAGCAGGTTTCCTTTTTCTGTCATAATCAATTAATTGTTTTATCTACTTTCCTATAATCGACATAAGCGATGCTTTGTTGAAATCACGTCTGTCCAGTTTCATAGTCTCAGTAATTCCAGTATGCACTGCGTAAGTTTACAGCCGAAAACATCGCGGATGAAAACGTTGCGGAGAAAACAATGCAGTGTGAAAACGTCGTGGTACAAAACATCGTCTGAGAAAATAAAGCAAACAAAACATGGCAATTCTAAAACATCGTGGTCGAAAATAAAGTTGTTGAAAAACTTCTCAGTTTAAAAACATAGTCGTCGAAAATATCGTGGTAAAGAATAAAGTACCTACAAATAATCGCATGATGATTAAATCGCACACATGCGTTTTTCAAATCCCATACTGACATATTATGTAACAGACTTTCATCATAATTAACAAATGGACATCCAAAACTTTGCTTGCACGCTATACGTGAAATTGTTAACGGCACTTTAAGAATAAACGGAAACAAAATAAAATGTAACTTTCACTAAAACAGTATCAGATTAACAAATGTGAAAGAAAATAATTCGATATCTAACTAAGCAATTTTTATAGAGGTAACCTCATGCAGTTATTTATCTTCCTTTTTCTAAATATTTTTGCGCTTTTTTTTTCATGAAAAATGAGTAAAACTTTATGAAAAAGGTTAATTAATTCATGACCTTTTTTAATTAATTATGTAAATTTAAAATTCTATTAAGTTCTAAAATTGCGTTAATTTTCTACTCATTTTCATGTTTTAAATGGTTAAGTTTCCTTCTTATTTTTTCAGCAAAAATTTACTAGTTCATTCAAAAATACGAAATATGGAAGTAAAAGAATCCCTCTTTCCTTCTTGCGCTGCCAAATCATTATGTGAAAATGCATTTACAACTTTTAAAAACCTGAAAACGCACGTGTGCGATGTTATTGTCATGCGATGATTTTTGTCGGTAATTTATTTTTTACCACGATATTTTTCGACGACGATGTTTTTAAACTGCGAAGTTTTTGAACAGCTTTATTTTCGACCACGATGTTTTCTCCTTGCTTTCTTTTCTCCCACGACGTTTTCGTCTTGCCTTCATTTCCTCCTTTTTGCCTTCGTTTTCGTATTTTCGGCGGGCACCCTCCGTAATTGTAATTAGCTGCTATATGTTCAGCTCCATTTTGATTAATGATAAAAGTTCAAGTACGTAATTTATTGACTTAGGAATAGGAAAAGGATGTTTCGAGTTTAATACGCAGCTCATTATTTCCTCTACAGTATACAGTACATTTCTGTCAAAAGCCATATTTCTGGTTCCCCCTGTCTTTCTAAATAAAGCAGCAATGTTTGTCATTGAAACAATTTTTTCTTTCCTAAAATTAGTTTTTAGACAATGGGAAAAAGAAGGTCATGAATTGTGGAAGCTTCTAGAACCTGTTGATAGTATACATCCAGTACAGGTAATTTATCTCATTACGTACATATTTACATCCACCTCTATTTGTGATATTAACATACCAAACTCAGTGTGGTGAAAAACTTTCTGTAGTAAACAGTAAAAAATAACAGTATAAAATATGTGACAGAATTATAATTATATCACATGACTTTCAAGTATTTATAGGCATGATGATAAGTTAATTTAACTTTTTGATGAATTTATAGACATATGGAAGTATCAAATATTTAACTGAGAAAAACTGAAATTTTTCTCGATTATTATTTTGAGCTATATCATATTCCCATAATGACAGCAAGTTTCTTAGTCTGAATTGTTTTACCTTTTCTTGTTAATTTTTATATATATTGCTTAGTTAATAACAAGAAGAGATGGAAAAAAAGGTGAAATGAAATTAAGCGCCAACAGAGGAGATGCGGAATAGAAATAATTCATCACCAGATGTGAAGAATCGAAACCATATGCCAATATTTTTAATTCAAAATTGGAAGAAAAAACAAAATTAAATGCAAATTTTAAAATACAGAGGGGAAAAAAAACCAAAAAAAAAAAAAAAAAAAACGTATTTTGTAAATAAGGGAAAAAGTTTAAAAATCTAATAAATTTTTATAATTTGAGTGACACAAGTCACACAAGAAGGTTATTTTTATGGCATGTTAAAACAAAAACTAATCGTATCATAAATAAAAAAATAATTAATCAAAACTGTTTTTTCTTAATTCCTACGCGTCACTTTTTAAAATTCCCTTAAAGAAATTGTACTAGATGTAATGTCAGATACTAGCATACATCTTAAAATAGTTTAGTATTTTATAACTAAAAATTTTTCTTTTTTGAAACAGGAAATTTTACCCCTTATTACTCAAGCTATGTGGAACGAAGTAGCTACAAAGTATCCAGAAGTGCTGGGAGATGTAAATCCGAACAATAACCTCATACAAGCAATTTTTGGCAATCAAGGAGGACATTAGATTTTCAAATTATTTAACCTTCATCTGGAAAACAACACATTATGAGTAGCATCATATTTCAGAAAGACTATGATCCCGAATGAGCATAATCATTTCTTGAAAAAAATGCAAATATGTTAAAAGAACTCATTTTATATTTATTGCATCTATCATTATTTATCATTGTTCATTGTTGTTTTACAACTGTAGATAATATGATACTGTAAGTGTGTACCTTGATATTTAAACATGTTGCTGAAACAATAAGTAATTATTTTCAAATGCATATTTCACTTACAAGAATAGAAATATACAGATAACCTTCCACATTTACCACTCATTTATTAACATTACATATACTCTCAACAGGGGGAAAAAAAAAAAAAAAATGTGTTTCTTTAACCAAAATAAATGGCTTTATTTGCCTTTTTTGCTAGATGAAAGTCTTTTATTTTATATTTTATGTTCATTTTTTTATGAATAAATTGAAGATTCTCAAGGCACTAGGAATTTAAAATAACTGTACTTCAATGTTACTAAGATTTGCAAAGTTCTTGTATGAATTTAAACAGTAACTTAATAAATATTTGAATATAAAACCTTTCCATGCTTCTCTTCACATTCCCCTTTCAAAATTCGAAGTAAACAGTTCTACAGCTAGAACACTTTTTACCTCTCCCCAATCTATATATGTAGGTAAGGGAGAAAATATTTTTGGTGCAAAAATTCGATAGTGAATTTTCAATGAATAAGTATGAGTTGGGATTTCAACAACACATTTTTACTACAGTCAAAAGTCTTTAATCCGGACCTCAAAGCTACAAACTTTCTGCACATACGTAGAGTTTACGCATGCGCATATGCGTTTAGCACGCGCATAATACCTTTATGCATGCGCATTTAATGTATAACGGACAGAATAAGCTAAGCTAAAATTATCTAATTATCTATTTCAGTTAATGTTGCAGATTGCGTTGTTCCTTAATCTTCTAATTGGATCCGGCTTATTATTTTTTGCAGACTGTTAGAGCAATTTTATAAAAGTAAGCTTGAACTTTCGATTACGTCAAAAAGAATTTCCGATTCTGGAGCTGCCAAAGGATCTACAAAGCGAAAGCATGTTTCGATGTCCATCAAACAAAAATTGTCTGCAAAAAAATGGATAAAGGCATATCCTTTATTTCTCTAACCATTCCAAAATCTGTTTATCAATTTCACGCTGCTCTGCGGTGGGGGGGGGAAACGTCGCGGAGCGCAATGAACTGGAAAGTTGATCTGTCAGCACTACCCTTATCTTCAGAGCAGATGTTTTTATTTTATTCGGCTTATAATTCCTTACTAAATGTAGTATTTCATCTGGATGTACTCAGTCTTTGATATGATTTCACATCAAAAAGTTTTCTGGTTGCAATTTTCTAATTTTGACTATGCGTAATGCATGCTTTACGCATGCGCGCGTTGAAAGAAATGTTAATAAAATAAACAAATAAATATCAAGCTTTTCTTTTGGTAAATTTTGATACCCTTTAGATCATAATTGCTCTTTATTTCATAAACTACGGTTTCATATTTTTAATTTTATAATTTCTGCATGCCATCTTATCAGGTTTAAACTGATGATCTATAATTAGAAAAAACCGATAATCCGGAATCACCGAAGTCCCGACGAGTCCGGATTAAAGACTTTTGACTGTATTATTACATGGATATCTGCCAATCTGTGTGCATGTGTATGACAATTTTTTCTTTCATGATAATTCTTATATAACAAACTTCCAAAAAAACTGAATTTTTGGTATTTAAGCTTTCTGCATTTATCTAAAAGCAGATTAGATTTTTTGGGTGAAACTGCACACCGGAAGTGGTAGTTTACTTAACCGTAAAATGTTTTATTGGACTACTGTAAGTGGTACTAAACTTGAAGTGAAAAACTATATTAAAATATAATCCGAAACTTTTCAATGTATTTAAAAGTTACAGTTAAAACAAACTAAAATTAAGAAACCTGAAGTGATATTTTACTTGAAACTCTGAATAGATTTTCGTGAAAAAAAATATATTATTTTTAAATTAATAATACATAAAATATAAAAAATATATGAAAAAACATTTTTAGAAACACTTTATTACAAATTCTAAACATATGCTGCTTTTAAAGATTTTGTTGTTGGATTTTATGAAAATCCGAAGAAAGTGATGTTTAAAAAATAAAAAGTTGGTTAATTTATTAAGGAAACTGAACATAATTTTTGAATTATATTTTGAAGAAAATATAATTCGAAATTGATGAATTGAATTATATTTTGAATAAATATAATTCAAAATGAGAAATAAAAAGTTGGTTATCTTAGTAAGAAAACTGAACATAGTTTTTGAACTATATTTTGAATAAAATGTAATTAAAAAATTAATCCAAATTTAAAATTTCGTATTACACTTCTTTTTATTTATTGGAAAAACAAATTAGATTTTGTTTACAAATGATTAGCTGGGACTTATTCTTTACTTAAAGCTCGTTGCTATTCGAAACAAGGAGTTTGCAGGAGGTCATGTGCTAGCTACACCAGATTTTTTAAAATTAAACCATGAAGACTTACATCACTTAGACTAAAACAACATAAATAACTTATTTCTGTTTTTTTTCTTTTCTTTTTTTTTTAAAGACCAGGATATTGTCTTGTTATTGATATAAAATTGCTCTGTAATCAGATAAGAGTCTAAGGGAGTCTGGAGAGAATGGGGCAGCAGCATCGGGCATCAGAAATGGCAGCACTATTGTGAGGGCTGGAATTTCAATATAATTCACACCCACTTGCACATCTTTAAAGACTTTCTGTGATGGCAGCATGGTATTGGCATCCAATTAAGATTTCATGCCAATACCATGCCGAAGTCATGGAATGGATGATAATGCTCGTCTCCATAGAGCGAATATCGTTAACGAGTACCTGAAGAACGAGGGTATTTCTCGTATGGTAGAGGCTGCCGTATTCCCCCAAACCTAACCTTACAGAAATTCTTTGGGATGCCCTCAGACGTGCTGTCGTGCGTGTTTACCATCAATAGCAAGTGGAAATTGCTCTAGTAAAGGAATAGTCACTGCTAACGTCTGCTCACTGAATACTTGCACAATTGCTGTAAAGATTGTGTGAAAATCCATAATGATCATATATCTTATCAATATTAGTTTCTTTATTATTAGAGTTAAATATCAATTTTTTAATAACTTAAAAGTGACATCATCATTTAATTTACAAAAATTATGTTTTCCATCTTTGTGCATAATGCTTATTTTCGTGTGCAAACATATTTGTTACCATCATGTGCAATTGTTATTAATCAAAGTTTCTTTTTTCAGTTTTGTTGATTTTATGGTCAGGTGCTTAACTTTTGTGCCAATGTATATCCTCCATCACCTCCCTAGCAACACAACAATAACACATTAGGAAAAAAAGTGTCCAACCTTTTACCTTTCCTGGGCCACATTGTAAGAAAACGAATACTTTGGGCCATACAAATTATTTCTAATACTAGTGGCAGCTTGTGATCTCCAAAATAAGTGAATCACACAGTTGTGAAGGTTTCATTGAAAACTTTCAAGTGTACGTAGGTTTGATCGCTGAAAGAAATTTTTGAATTTCATCTCTAGGAGAGTATTATCTTGAATGAAAGAGTATAAGAATACGGGAAGAGACGAGGAAGGGTGATGGGAAGAAAAGCCAATTTGTCATCTAAAGCTTGATGTGCAAACTTCTTTATCAGTGCAATTCCACTAACGAATTGTTTTGTTTCAGAGACTCCATTTCACTATGTTAATAAAACAATGTAATAATTACTACTGCAGAATATTCGAGAAAGTGAACAGTACAAATGTGGCAATTACTATAACAATATTTACTCAATCTATTCAATCTGTAGACAAATTGTTTTAGTTTGCTAGCTCAGATCTGAATATAATTGGCATCAAAGATAATACAATCAAACCCCACTATAACGAAGTGCAAGGAAACACATATTTTGTTTGCTATATCCAACTTCATAAATATATCTCATCACACAAAAAGAGTGTAAAACTGATTGATGAATCATGCAAAAAGAGTGATTACATTGCCCCATCTGCCAAAAACATTTTAAGTAATTTTAAAAATAAAAGTTAATAATTAAAGTTACGTGCAATTACTAAATTTCATTTTCTTTGTGTTTAAGCATCACCATAAGTTAATAATTTTACATAAAAAATTACATAGTTTAGAGCCCCTCCCTTCAGTTATACATATTTAAAAATACGCACTGTTGTCTTTTTCATGTATTTCATGGAGGAATGGTTGCCAGAGCCTCAAGGAGATTGGCCTTCTATTTCAAACCAAATTTTGAAAGAAAGCACCCCCGGGGAATAGCCCAAGTATCTCCCATCCTCATCCCTTCCACTAAACCACACTAGAGGACTTTCGGCTTGCAGACACTATACATTTACAAACATCCATGACTTCTCCAGGATTCAAACCTAGGTCCTACGGTACCACATTAAGCTTCCTTAATCACTACACTTTCTGGGCAGCAAAATAAACATTTGTAATTATGAATAAATATCAGCCTTGAATAGATTGCTCTCTGGTAGCTCAATCAAAGAACTGATTCAAGCCATTTGTCTCAAAAAATCAACGATTCGATCAATGATGTGATATGATCTCTTAAGATTTTGTTGCGTGCGTACGAGTTTGTAACAGATTGAATGCGCACAGTACCGATGATAGTTGATAAAATTTATTTTATCAAAAGAAACACTTCAGAAGTTCTGGAACTTTCAACAGAAATACTCGTACAGCTGTTCATAATATTACAAAGTGCAAGCAGTAATTACCCATCAAACTGTACTAAGAATGTTAAACTAGTTAAACTAATTAAATACAGTCAAATACCAAAAATCCGCCAACTCCTGAAATCTGCATTGCATCTCAAAATATAAACATTCAGTTTATAGGTTCTGGAAACCGCAAAATTGAGTACGAAATATCGAAGAAAAATACTTACCGAATAATGATGTCATAATCACCGAATAATAATGAGTCATAACGGAAATACCAAATTATTGCCATAAAAAAAGTTTAAAAAAATAAGATAAAAGTTTTTTCCCTTTAACCTCTGTATCGAGGTAAAAAAGCAGACGATTCACATTGTTGTATTTTCTGAGCTTTGTTATTTCACGAGATTGTTTAGTGCTGCCTTTTTTTTTTTATCCTGATATTTTGTGGATAAATTAACAATATTTTAAATTTCAGCCCTTTTTAATACAATGACAGATAAACAACTCACTCATGATTTTACTGCTTGCAACGTTGAAAAACGTAAACATGTTGCATTGACGGTAACACAAAAAGTGCAAATTCTGCAAAAGATGGAGGCAGGTGCTACTCCTCGATTTATAACAGAATGGTATGAAATTGCGACACAATTGTGTATGATATACGTAAAAATAAAGAAAAGTGTTGAAATTTTACAGCAACAGTGATTCTAGCACCGGAAATCTTTACGAGGCGAAATCGGCAAACCTCGATGCTGTGTACATATAATACGATAAATAATATAATCAATTTATATA